GACCAACAGGTAAAACATCTAGCCACGGTGGAACAACGGTCCCTAGAAAACCCAGGATAATTGGACCAGGAGGTAAAACATCTACCAACGGCGAAACATTGGTTACCAGAAAACCCAGGATAATTGGACCAGGAGGTAAAACATCTAGCCACGATGGAACAACGGTCCCCAGAAAACCCAGGATAATTGGACTTGGAGGTAAAACATCTACCAACGGCGAAACATTGGTTACCAGAAAACCCAGGATAATTGGACCAGGAGGTAAAACATCTAGCCACGATGGAACAACGGTCCCCAGAAAACCCAGGATAATTGGACTTGGAGGTAAAACATCTACCAACGGCGAAACATTGGTTACCAGAAAACCCAGGATAACTGGACCAGGAGATAAAAAATCTAGCTATGACGAAACATTGGTCCCCAGAAAACCCAGGATAATTGGACCATGAGGTAAAAGTCTAGCTACGACGAAACATTGGTCACCAGAGAACCCAGGGTAATTGGACTTGGAGGTAAAACATCTAACCACTGCGAAACATTGGTACCCAGACATGGCTGAAATAGGACTGATTATTGTATGCATTTCTTTCATTCGTTTACGATGTATATGTTGATTTTACTCGTCTGTTGACGCACTTACGTAATTGTTTTTCAGGTCCGTGTTGTTTGATTCTAAGCCTGAAAGAAATAAAATTGGTAACATTGGACACAATCTACACAACATTTTTCACACTATTATTGAGACTATACAACTTTGTTAATATTATATATAATCTGTAAAATACTCGTTAGAATAGTATCAGACTACGCAACTATCGTAATATTAGACATACAGAACATTAGCCATTATATAATTAGCTATTATAATAATAGATATAAGCTTAAAGAAAATTTAGCTATTATAATATTAGATATAATCAACAGATCATTATCCATTGTAATGTTAGATATATTCTAGAGAATGCTGGCTATTGTAATATTAGATATAATCTACAGAACATTGGCTATTGTAAAATTAGATATAATTTACAGAACATTGCCTATTGAAAAATTCGATATAATCTAGAGAATACTAGCTATTGTAATATTAGATATAATCTACAGAATACTGGCTATTGTAATATTACATATAAACTAAAGAACATTAATCACAACCATGTCAGACTACGCAACTGTCTATAAATAATGGCAGGTCACACAAATGACACACTTAATGGAAACGCTTTAGAACGTTTCAAACGTTATGTGAGAAAGATAAGAAAAAACACACAGGGGATAAACAGGGTTTAAACTTTATTTGGGAGGTCGAAGCGGCCTACAGGATACGACCACAATGGAACTTGATCTAAAACATCGTAGCAACCTTTATTCAAAAGGACTCAGGGAGAACAAGTGGCATGTGGTTTCTCCTACTGACAAACATAATCTTATCTCCACCATTGCAACAGTTTGCAGAATGAGACACTATCTCGGGATGTGGCAGACAAAATAGACTACTGTAGATATCAAAACATGTTTTTCTAACCCCCCCTACTGCGTTCGGCTTCAAATACGGGCCAGCCTATACATGTCAGTCAGTCAGTACGTCAGTCAGTACGTCAGTTAGTCAGTACGCCAGTCAGTCAGTCAGTAGGTCAGTCAGTCAGTACGTCAGTCAGTCAGTACGTCAGTCAGTCAGTACGTCAGTCAGTAGGTCAGCCAGTCAGTACGTCAGTCAGTCAGTCAGTACGTCAGTCAGTAAGTCAGTACGTCAGTCAGTAAGTCAGTCAGTACGTCAGTCAGTCAATACGTCAGTCAGTCAGTACGTCAGTCAGTCAGTACGTTAGACAGTCAGTACGTCAGTCAGCCAGTACATCATTCAGTCAGTACGTCAGACAGTCAGTCAGTACATCAGTCAGTCAATACGTCAGCGACTCAGTACGTCAGTCAGTCAGTTAGTACGTCAGTCAGTGAGTCAGTGTGTGTGTCAGTCAGTCAGTCAGTAGCATGTCCGTTTCAGAACCTTGTTCCCATCACAACCTTCCGGAAAACTTCTCGATCACAAGCAAGATGTCCCGCGTCCTATACACCCATTTGGAGATAGTCCGCCACATCCTGCACCCATCTTCTCTTTGGCCTTCATCTTCCTTTCTTCCCAGGCATTTACCCCTCCATTATTGTTCTCTCTAAACTTTCGTGACTTTCAAATGACTAAAATATTTCAATTTTCTCTGTGTTTTATCGTCTTTAACACCCAACCTTCTTCAATATTCAGTTCTTGAAGTATGGATGCATTTGTTTTATTTTTTTACCCATGATATTCTTAGAACCCGTGTATAACATTTGTATTTAAAGATATTTATGTACTGTTCAGCTTGTTCAGTAAATGTCCAGGTCTTATAGGCGTATGTTGCAATGGAAAAGATGCACGCTCTTAGAAATCAAATTTGTGTAGTGCTGTTTGTCCCAATCAATAATTTATTTAGTTGCTTTAGTCTTGGAAGAGCAATTAATGGTCGTCGTTTAAATTCCTTCATTGTGTCACCATCGTTGGTAATCAATGACACTAAAATATTCAAGTGTTTTTTCTTTTCTTTTCATCGCTGTTATGGTTTCTTAGCAAGTTTTGCAGAAGGTAGTTTGCCATCGCTTTCCTTATGAGTAGTGACTGTACTAGTCGGTGGCCATAGCCATTGTCTAAACGTGAGCAGCAGAAAATATGCTTGGAATTAACAACAGCCTGCAAGATTTTGGCAACTTAGCCATAAAACTACGGTGCTAGAATTTACACGCTTCGGGATGTGGACACGAATCCTCGCTCGGTCTCCAGTAGACAAGTTCAACAAACTGACAAATGCTAAACTTGCAGAATATCTCAGCAGCTTTTTCTTCTTCTTCTCTTCCACATTTTACCTCATCGAAGTGTCCGGGGGTGGGGGGGGGGGGGGGGGGATGTAATGTTGGTTGATGAGCTCTGTCAAGAGCACTATTAAGACTGATGTTCATTTCTGTAAGGCTGTTCCTAATGCCATCACTCCATATTTTCCGAGGTCTTCCACTCGCTCTATACCCGTTGTAATGTTTTATTGTGGCTCGCTGTGGTAGATAGTAACAGGGCATTCTTGTTAGGTATCCAAACCACTTCATTTGTTGTCCTTAGATGACCTGTAAGACTGGCTTTATTCCTAGCATTCGTCTGATTTTATGATTTCGTATTCTATCTCAGCATCTACACGTATAAAACAGAAACAAACGCAAGTATACGAAAAACGTGATTCCAACAATAACATTTGCTATAGTATCTGCCCCTGACCATCGTCGATAATTGTAATAACAATATTCTTTCCGGAGATTCCCATTCTCCAAACGTCCTTGACCCGGAGGTCGGTCACTGGAACGTCTCCGCGCTTGTTGTTCTGAAAAACAAAATGGTGGCAGATAGAATATATGGTATGAAATTATGGCGACAGTTGCTAATTATACTAAAGGTGCTGATGGTGATGTTAAGGGGGGGGGGGGCGGGATGATGCTGATGTAGATCCAAATCATGGTGGTGATAGTCAAAGCATGTAATCCATGTAATTCATTGTCGATTTCGCCAAACTGCAATGGTACCTGTCAGCAGAAAAGTCACCCGCAATTTCGTCCGCATAGGATTGCAGTTTCCAGCTAGCTGGAGCAGCCATTACGAATAGCCGAATCATAACGTCTGTGGAGTTTTCCCGCGGTATTTTTGATCTGCTCTATTGGTTTGCCGTGCAGACTGAGATGCTTAAACATGCGTTCTTTTAGGTAAACCTTCAGACAGCAGCCTGGAAGTAACAATCTGATCAATTGATTGATTGATCATCTGAGGGCGGAACAATGTATCGGTAAATAGAAACAAGATACCAACCATCCAGTACACTTACGGACCAACTGACATCTTTATTAAGATATCCAAACAAAATTATGAGCGCCAAGAAACAGATGACAAAAGTAGATTAAAACCAGTACTGTGCTACCAGTGCCAGACTCGGATATTATGAAAGGCTAACCTACTTTAAATCAACACCTGTAAAATTAGATGCATGAGAAAGACTACCTACTTAACCATCTGAAACAAAGTTAAAAAAGATATTATCAGAAAGACTGTAGGAACAACACCAGGCAGCAAATTTATTGAGAAACAGAAGATGAAATGATTTGGTCATCTTGTAAAAAATGCAGCCAGAACAACTATCATCGAAGGCGCTAAACATGAAAAGAACTTAACTGAAAGCAAGAAACCACCCTAAGAAAAGATACATTTGAGCCAGCGGGAAGCGTAAATGGAAGGAAACGATGAAAGAAATGTGGTAAAAACAATAAGTAGTTTCCCACTAGACTGCAAAAATAGGAAAAGTGAAGAAAAGACAAGGGTTTTTTCCGTGCAGGAAATATGAAATAGGACTCATGGCTTCAACGATGAATATGTGAATAGTGAATTATACAACAACTACAACATATAACTACATAGGCAGCTCCTAGTCCGACCAAGAGCGCGAACTACAAGACCTATTCTGAATCATACAAATGGAATAAAATAATCATATTTAATATCTGTTTATCATTCTGAACACAAAACTGGCGTGCCTTGCAGATAACAGTAGATTAACAGTCATCAACTTTTTCGAACAGACGATGTGCTAACCAAATCTAAATCTAACACAATCTACCTACTGAACGTACCCTTAAACCCGAAACCAGTGAACCAGTTCATCTCTCTTGACTGCACCGTACTTAAGTTGCAGCGAGAACCCTATACAGTTCTACAACAATAGGAGAACTACATGTCCCTAGGGCCACTGACGATACCAAAAAGCAAAGAGAGCCTTTTCTGCTGTGCTGGGCCACGGCCAGCTCCAGATTTATAAGGCCGTCCAGCTTGAACGGGAATTCCCGTTCTTGTGCAAGAACTGAGTCCCTCTGCGTCCATAGTTTTCATCGAGGAGATGTATACGCAAATTAAACTACAGTTTCATTAATTTTCGACATATTTTTTAGAACTACACGTCATTTTTAAGGTAAATAAGTGTGCCGAATAAATATAACAATAAAGGCTCTTACAGACAAACAAAAATGCTTTAGCTACAGTCAACATGAACATAAACATCAATAACGTTTAGATGTAAACTAAAAGTTGTTCCAGCAAAAGTAAAGAAATATCAGTGGTAACTCTTTGATTCTGAGAGGGTATTGTTGCATCAGAGGAGCTTGGAGGGGGGGGGGGAGGGGAGGGGAGTGGTGGCCTTTGTACTTTATCAAATTTAGCGCATAAAAATACTGCTATGAAACCTACACATATCATACATAACATAAATATAAGTAATTGATGGTTATTATTATTATTAGTAGTAGACTACTACAACATATAATTATGCTGTTATTTAATAATTAGTAAACAAGCATAATTAGTATGAAATTGATATGTGCAATACTTTGTTCACCCAGAGTAGTTTTCTTAACAGTACTTACAGCACTACTAAATATGTATCCTCAAGGTACAAACAGCACAAACAAATTTGTCCAGTTTCATCACGTTGGATAAAATCAATTCCTTACCATTGCGAATTTTTTTGGTAACAAATATGCATAGGAAGTGGATGAACAACAGAAGTTTCTGCAAGAGTTTACAGCCAGTGTTCGCGAAGCAAAGCAAAAGCCAGTTTACAAAAATTAACACAGACCGTACAACTGCAAATATGCAAAAGAAGTTGATGAGTAACCAGAAGTTTCCGCAAGAGTTTACAGCCAGTGTTCGCGAAGCAAAGCAAAAGCCAGTTTACACAAATTAACACAGACCGTACAACTGCAAATATGCAAAAGAAGTCGATGAACAACCAGAAGTTTCCGCAAGAGTTTACAGCCAGTGTTCGCGAAGCATAAGTCAAATGGTTAAGGATTAATATTATTTGTGTACTGCTACAACATATAATTATACTGTTAGTCAACAATTAGTAAAGAGGCAAAGAGTGACTTGCTGTGAGAGGTTAGTTAGTAAATTAAATATAATTTTTATCCACTTACCTAGAGCTCCGAAATATCTTGACACAATTTATCCACAGTGTGGTTGCACCATTTATGCACAGTCAATATGAAAGCAATAGTTTTCTTCAAACACAAGATAGTTTGCACCTGACTACTGTCGATATTCTAAATTACCTGTTTGTATTATCCCTAAAAGTAAGATTTCTACATTTAAAGTAGAAAAGTCATAAACAGCCAGTTCCCAATAATTCCAACTACTGACTAGAAACAGTGACACTGACACACACATCACAACACGACTGTCTTCCTTGAATTAAAATTAAAATTAAAATTGCTGTATATCCACTTCACAGTATCCATTTGTAGATTTGTAATACGAATACGTTTAAAGCACAGGACTTTGTAGGCATATATATATGTCACACAATGCAACATGGAAACGCTCCTAGTAACCTATTTTCGAGGGAACTCCTCCAAAATGTACCGTCATTAAGTTGTCAGGACTGAATATATGCAGCCGGACGTGGCTGGGCCTTATATCAACTTTTCGACTCCCTTCCCTCTTCCGGAGAGTCCTCATCTGCAAACCTGCCAGTTTTAGTTCGCAAGGGCAGCCAAACCGAAAGTATTAACAGCCTGTTACAGACTGTTGCTATTAAAGAGCTTCTACTTGGAAACGCAATGACAATAGCTGCTGCTGCCCATCACACAATTGATCATAGACGGTTGCTCCCCACAACGCTTAACATCAGAAGGTAAAGTTCATGATGATGATGTTGCTGATGACTCAGAGAGGTACAAGAGGTTTCTGTGTGTGTGTGTGTGTGTGTGTGTGTGTGTGTTTAAAGTCTCTGTCTACCCCACAACCCCCCTTCCCCACACCCCAACGCCCATGACTTTGTATGTGCCGGGCCGTTTACAATTATGAAATTACTATAATAAAATTGTTATTTTAATATTATTATTACTATCTTTTATTATTTTTATTATTATAAATTTAGTCTAATTATTTAATTAATGGACTATGTATTGTTGGCCGGCGAGATGTATTGTTAAACTATGTAATGTTGGCCGGCGAGATGTATTGTTGAACTATGTATTGTTGGCCGGCAAGATGTATTGTTGGAATATGTATTGTTGGCCGGCAAGATGTATTGTAGAACTATGTATTGTTGGCCGGCAAGATGTATTGTTGGACTATGTATTGTTGGCCGGCAAGATGTATTGTTGGACTATGTATTGTTGGCCGGCGAGATGTATTGTAGAACTATGTATTGTTGGCCGGCAAGATGTATTGTTGAACTATGTATTGTTGGCCGGCGAGATGTATTGTAGAACTATGTATTGTTGGCCGGCAAGATGTATTGTTGGACTATGTATTGTTGGCCGGCAAGATGTATTGTTGAACTATGTATTGTTGGCCGGCGAGATGTATTGTTGAACTATGTATTGTTGGCCGGCAAGATGTATTGTTGGACTATGTATTGTTGGCCGGCAAGATGTATTGTTGGACTATGTATTGCAGGCCGGCAAGATGTATTGTTGAACTATGTATTGTTGGCCGGCAAGATGTATTGTTGAACTATGTATTGTTGGCCGGCGAGATGTATTGTTGAACTATGTATTGTTGGCCGGCAAGATGTATTGTTGGACTATGTATTGTTGGCCGGCAAGATGTATTGTTGGACTATGTATTGTTGGCCGGCAAGATGTATTGTTGAACTATGTATTGTTGGCCGGCAAGATGTATTGTTGGACTATGTATTGTTGGCCGGCAAGATGTATTGTTGGACTATGTATTGTTGGCCGGCAAGATGTATTGTTGGACTATGTATTGTTGGCCGGCGAGATGTATTGTTGAACTATGTATTGTTGGCCGGCGAGATGTATTGATGAACTATGTATTGTTGAACTATGTATTGTTGGCCGGCGAGATGTATTGTTGAACTATGTATTGTTGGCCGGCGAGATGTATTGTTGAACTATGTATTGTTGAACTATGTATTGTTGGCCGGCGAGATGTATTGTTGAACTATGTATTGTTGGCGGGCAAGATGTATTGTTGAACTGTGTATTGTTGGCCGGCGAGATGTATTGTTGAACTATGTATTGTTGGCCGGCAAGATGTATTGTTGAACTATGTATTGTAGGCCGGCAAGATGTATTGTTGAACTATGTATTGTTGGCCGGCGAGATGTATTGTTGGACTATGTATTGTTGGCGGGCGAGATGTATTGTTGGACTATGTATTGTTGGCCGGCAAGATGTATTGTTGGACTATGTAATGTTGGCCGGCGAGATGTATTGTTGAACTATGTATTGTTGGCGGGCAAGGTGTATTGTTGAACTATGTAATGTTGGCCGGCGAGATGTATTGTTGAACTATGTATTGTTGGCGGGCAAGGTGTATTGTTGAACTATGTATTGTTGGCCGGCGAGATGTATTGTTGAACTATGTATTGTTGGCGGGCAAGATGTTTTGTTGAACTATGTATTGTTGGCCGGCGAGATGTATTGTTGAACTATGTATTGTTGGCCGGCAAGATGTATTGTTGAACTATGTATTGTAGGCCGGCAAGATGTATTGTTGAACTATGTATTGTTGGCCGGCGAGATGTATTGTTGAACTATGTATTGTTGGCCGGCAAGATGTATTGTTGAACTATGTATTGCAGGCCGGCAAGATGTATTGTTGAACTATGTATTGTTGGCCGGCGAGATGTATTGTTGAACTCTGTGTTGTTGGCCGGCGAGATGTATTGTTGAACTATGTATTGTTGGCCGGCAAGATGTATTGTTGAACTATGTATCGTTGGCCGGCAAGATGTATTGTTGAACTATGTATCGTTGGCCGGCAAGATATATTGTTGAACTATGTATCGTTGGCCGGCAAGATGTATTGTTGAACTATGTATCGTTGGCCGGCGAGATGTATTGTTGAACTATGTATTGTTGAACTATGTATTGTTGGACTATGTATTGTTGAACTATGTATTGTTGGCCGGCGAGATGTATTGTTGAACTATTTATTGTTGGCCGGCGAGATGTATTGTTGGACTATGTATTGTTGAACTATGTATTGTTAGCCGGCAAGATGTATTGTTGAACTATGTATTGTTGGCCGGCGAAATGTATTGTTGAACTATGTATTGTTGGCCGGCGAGATGTATTGTTGAACTATGCGTTGTTGGCCGGCAAGATGTATTGGTGAACTATGTAATGTTGGCCGGCGAGATGTATTGTTAAACTATGTATTGTTGGCCGGCAAGATGTATTGTTGAACTATGTATTGTTGGCCGGCAAGATGTATTGTTGAACTAAGTATTGTTGGCCGGCAAGATGTATTGTTGAACTATGTATTGTTGGCCGGCGAGATGTATTGTTGAACTATGTATTGTTGGCCGGCGAGATGTATTGTTGAACTATGTATTGTTGGACTATGTATTGTTAAACTATGTATTGTTGGCCGGCAAGATGTATTGTTGAACTATGTATTGTTGGACTATGTATTGTTGAACTATGTATTGTTGGCCGGCGAGATGTATCGTTGAACTATGTATTGTTGGCCGGCGAGATGTTTTGTTGAACTATGTATTGTTGGCCGTCGAGATGTATCGTTAAACTATGTATTGTTGGCCGGCGAGATGTATTGTTGGACTATGTATTGTTGGCCGGCAAGATGTATTGTTGAACTATGTATTGTTGGCCGGCGAGATGTATTGTTGAACTATGTATTGTTGGCTGGCAAGATGTATTGTTGAACAAAGTATTGTTGGCCGGCAAGATGTATTGGTAAACTATGTATTGTTGGCCGGCAAGATGTATTGTTGGACTATGTATTGTTGGCCGGCAAGATGTATTGGTAAACTATGTAATGTTGGCCGGCGAGATGTATTGTTGAACTATGTATTGTTGGCCGGCAAGATGCATTGTTGAACTATGTATTGTTGGCAGGCGAGATGTATTGTTGAACTATGTATTGTTGGCTGGCGAGATGTATTGTTGAACTATGTATTGTTGGCCGGCAAGATGTATTGTTGAACTATGTATTGTTGGCCGGCGAGATGTATTGTTGAACTATGTATTGTTGGCCGGCAAGATGTATTGTTGAACTATGTATCGTTGGCCGGCAAGATGTATTGTTGAACTATGTATCGTTGGCCGGCAAGATGTATTGTTGAACTATGTATCGTTGGCCGGCAAGATGTATTGTTGAACTATGTATCGTTGGCCGGCAAGATGTATTGTTGAACTATGTATCGTTGGCCGGCAAGATGTATTGTTGAACTATGTATCGTTGGCCGGCAAGATGTATTGTTGAACTATGTATCGTTGGCCGGCGAGATGTATTGTTGAACTATGTATTGTTGAACTATGTATTGTTGGACTATGTATTGTTGAACTATGTATTGTTGGCCGGCGAGATGTATTGTTGAACTATGTATTGTTGGCCGGCGAGATGTATTGTTGGACTATGTATTGTTGGCCGGCAAGATGTATTGTTGGACTATGTATTGTTGGCCGGCAAGATGTATTGGTAAACTATGTATTGTTGGCCGGCAAAGGTGTATTGGTAAACTATGTATTGTTGGCCGGCGAGATGTATTGTTGAACTATGTATTGTTGGCCGGCAAGATGTATTGTTGAACTATGTATTGTTGGCTGGCGAGATGTATTGTTGAACTATGTATTGTTGGCTGGCGAGATGTATTGGTGAACTATATATTGTTGGCTGGCGAGATGTATTGTTGAACTATCTATTGTTGGCTGGCGAGATGTATTGTTGAACTATGTATTGTTGGCCGGCAAGATGTATTGTTGAACTATGTATTGTTGGCCGGCAAGATGTATTGTTGAACTATGTATTGTTGGCCGGCAAGATGTATTGTTGAACTATGTATTGTTGGCTGGCGAGATGTATTGTTGAACTATGTATTGTTGGCTGGCGAGATGTATTGGTGAACTATATATTGTTGGCTGGCGAGATGTATTGTTGAACTATGTATTGTTGGCAGGCAGGATGTTGACCACATCGACTACAGAGAGCCGACTGGTCTCTAAAATACAGGTCTAACTCTATATTCTCAATTAGTCTAAAGGCGTGGATAACGGTCTTTTACTAGCAATTGTTGATAATGTTGATGTTGTTGGTGATGATTGGAATGGTGACGAGAATGGTGGTCGTGACAGCAATGATGGCAATGGCCACACTGAGGACGATAAGACATACTTACGATCGCCTGGTTGATATACCACTCGTGAGAGAACTCCGGGTCGTCCACCATACCCTCTCTGGCTGCTATCTTCCCTGTCACACTCTCGTCCATCACTTCCCTCTTGACGCGATTCAGTAGCTGCTGCTGCTCAGCGAACACAACCTGTGCGTGTCAGAGAACATGTCAGATCTCAGAGAACATGTCATATCTCAGAGAACATGTCATATCTCAGAGAACATGTCATATCTCAGAGAACATGTCATATCTCAGAGAACATGACATATCTCAGATAGCATTCAGCTAATTGGTGTTTCAGAACACATGACACATGCTAGAGCACAAGACACATGTCAAAGCACATGACACATGTCAAAGAGCATGACACCTGTTGGAGAACGCGAAACATGACACCGGTCAGAAATAATGACACATCTGAGAAAATATAAAACATCCCAGATGACATGCTATAGCTGTTGTGTCATAGCATGTGACACACGTCGGAGGACATGACACATCTTTGAGAACTTGACACATCGATGAAAACATAGATGATGATGGTGGTGATGATGATGATGATAGGGATTATTTCTGAATAAATGATAAGAAAATTCTGACACTAGTTAAAGAAAAGGATCTTCACACTATAACTAGGAAACTCGCGGATGGAAAACCACTGGGGGGGGGGGGGAGGGGGGTGTTCATGGGGCGGTGGAGGGGAAATTACCTCCCACCCCGGTTTCCCCTCCCCACAACACACACACACATACACACACCTAAACACACACACACACACACACACACACAACCGCACAGAAGCAGGACAACGTAACTAGCCTCATGATACTAGTTGGTGGATACAGTCGTGTCTGTGGCTATTGGATCCTTTTTCCTTGTCGTTCAGACTCCAGGTCACAGCTTTTGCCTTAGTGAACTCATTCCTGGGTATAAACTTGACTGCCCTCACTCTGATTTCTTGTTGTTATTGTTGTTGTTGTTGTTATTATTATTATTATTATTATTATTATTATTATTATTATCAATTTAAACTATAAAAATTTTTTTAAGCTAAAACCTTTGTTTTCACAAAAATAATGGAAGTGTTTAATTGTACGACTACACATTAAAATCAATAATGGCTAAGAGGTTGTCTAATAATTTCACCTGTTGTTTATTGCTTGGAATGGTTGTTAAAAGGCCCTTTTCCACGCTTACAGGCGTACTGGACCTAAAGGGTGAGACCTATATTTTATAGATCAATCAATACTCGGTATGTGGTACGATTAGCATATCGCAAGTCACATTTACTTCCCAGGAACTTTCATCTGCCACAGATTTAAGGCTGGATCCACCTGGGAGCCAAGGTCATTTTTGAAAACAGTCCAGCACAGTCCGGATTTAAACCCGCGAACTTCGGATCCGCATTGGAGCATCTTGCGGCTAAACAACGAGGGCTCTATTCGAATGTTTGTGGTGCAGTTAATTGTCTGTCCTGCTGACGGTGAGCCCCACGCCTACGCGCTACACGTGAGTATTGACAAACTTATCGACGCAATGGGGCTATCACAATTGTCTGCTGTGTACATGAATTATATTTATTGGCGCTAATAAACGATATAATCACACCGAGACCGTGCTCATCGCCTTCTACAGAGTGGAAATAGATCAAATATTTAGAGTTAAACCTAAACATTTGATCTATTTTCACTGTGTAGAAGTGACAATAGATCAAAATGCTATGGGGAAAAATCACTGATTGATTCATGCTATGTTAAAGCAGGAAAGTAAAATTAAATGACCCTTTTCCTCGCATTTTGGTAGTATTGTATGGTATTTGATCGTCTGAGTTTGTCGAAACCTAACAGTTTACCGGCCTGACACATATTGACGATGATAAGGGGCCGACCGTGACATCCTTTACCTATTTAAAGTTCCTCATAGAGGATGCTCTTGTGGACTCTACCGCCATTCGTGTGTGTTCTAGCCATGCGAAGACTGGGTAATGAGAAAACTCTTGTAATATCTGTTCTGTCTAATACCTGGTGTCTTCATGTGTCGCCATTTACTGCCAAGTATTTGTTTTAGTAATTATAGCATCGGATAGCTCTATTCAGTTGTTTCATGAACAAGAACGTACACAGAAAGTTGATCAACTTCACAATGAGCACCCATGTTGCCCAGTGAGAAGCTGAAAGGTGAGATTGCAGTTACTCACTCGGTGGTCATCAGTGAGCGACCTGGTGCGGTCGGTAGCTGCTCGGCGCGACCGGTGAGGGGTGTCTGTTCGCCTCAAGGCGTAATGATCTGGGAGACTAAGTGACTGAAACAGAATGCTCAAGTGTAAGTTAATGCAAGAGAGTTTGAACGATTACGTTGACAAATACATAAGTTGAGGATTAGAAGAGAGGACCGCTGAGGCGTGACCGAGTATATGTGTTAATGAGTGGATATGTGAGTACGAGAATAAATGAGTCAATACGCGAGTCTTTAGAAGATTGTATTGAAAAGGCAGTGTGGGTGGGGAAACGATGAGTTTGTGAGTGGACGAGTTAGTGTGAGTTATTGGTTGAGTGTCCGAGAGTCAAAATTGGTTGAGTGAGTAAATGTATAAGTCTTTAAGTGCTCACTTTTATAACCGAATAAGTGACCAAAGGGGTGAGTAGATGAATGATGGAGAGTAGGTGACCAAAGGGGTGAGTAGATGAATGATGGAGAGTAGGTGACCAAAGGGGTGAGTAGATGAATGATGGAGAGTAGGTGACAAGGTGAATTAGCACGTGTGCTATTGAGCTGGTTAGTTAGGGTGGCGACGAAGATGTGGCTCTTCAGAGGAATGTTAAGAATCCCTTGGACGGCCAGAGCAACTATCGAGGATTGCTTGAAAGAAGCTAATGAAAGCAGATCAATATTTACTGCTGTAAGGAAAATACAAGCACTGTTATTTGGTTTGGTCATGAGTTGGGATGCTATCAAGAATATTGTAACGACTGGAAAGATCAACGGTAGAAGAGGCAGACCAAGAGAGAAGATGATGGATGGCTTGCGACTGTGGCACGAAGGGATATTCAGAGGACAAGAAACCAAGATCAGTGAAGATGAATGAATGTCTACGCCACTTGGCAGGGTACGTGATGATGATGAAAATGATAATGATGATGATGGTGCTTTGAGGAGTAAAGGATAGAATGTGCAAATGTGGAGCTTAGAAAGTTAGTCACAGATAAATGAATCATTTAGAGATGACATAAATAAACAGATGAATGAATGACTGAGAGATTGCGTCAATAAACAGATATGTGAATGAATGAGAGATGACGTAAATAAACAGATATGTGAATGACTGAGAGATGACGTGAATGAACAGATATGTGAATGGCTGAGAGATGACGTAAATAAACAGATATGTGAATGGCTGAGAGATGACGAAAATAAACAGATGTGGGTGACTGAGAGAAGACGTGAATAAACAGATTTGTGAATGACTGAGAGATGACGTAAAAACGCAGATATGTGAATGACTGAGAGATGACGTGAATAAACAGATATGTGAATGACTGAGAGATTGCGTCAATAAACAGATATGTAAATGACTGAGAGATGGCGTAAATAAACAGATATGTGAATGACTGAGAGATGACGTGAATAAACAGATATGTAAATGACTGAGATATGACGTATATAAACAGATATGTGAATGACTGAGAGATGACGTGAATAAACAGATATGTAAATGACTGAGAGATGACGTGAATAAACAGATATGTGAATGACTAAGAGATAGCGTCAATAAACAGATATGTGAATGACTGAGAGATGACGTAAATAAACAGATGTGGGTGACTGAGAGAAGACGTGAATAAACAGATTTGTGAATGACTGAGATATGACGTAAATAAACAGATAAATGAATGACTGAGAGATGACGTGAACAAACATATAAATGAATGACTAAGTGATGACGTAAACATACAGATACATGAAGGACTTATGCTCATCCCTTCATCTGGCGGGGTGGGGGAGGGGGGGGGGGAGGGGGTTGATGGAAGGATCCAGGGAGACCGTAGTTACCTCAGGGGCAATGTGAAGTAGCTGCTTTAAAAATAAAAAATAAAATAAGAGGGTGGTATGTGTAAACAGGTAGAAAAGAATATAACGATTTTGAAGACTGTTCGTATGCGTTTCTTCTGTTGTGTAACACAGTGGTAAAGTCATAGTTATTAGCTCATTTCTTTAAAACACACAATATCAGTTATAAGCGGCCAGGGAAACAGTTACCTGTCTCCAATTTTAGACAACAAATGAATCGTTAAGAAAAGCCACTAACCATCAACATTTATTCATAACTGGTTCAGGACTGGTGGAGAGACACCGAGAGGAAGGCACAGTCATAAATAGCTAAGGAATACTGTCAGGACTGGTGGAGAGACACCGAGAGGAAGGCACAGTCATAAATAGCTAAGGAATACTGTCAGGACTGGTGGAGAGACACCGAGAGGAAGGCACAGTCATAAATAGCTAAGGAATACTGTCAGGACTGGTGGAGAGACACCAAGAGGAAGGCACAGTCATAAATAGCTAAGGAATACTGTCAGGACTGGTGGAGAGACACCGAGAGGAAGGCACAGTCATAAATAGCTAAGGAATACTGTCAGGACTGGTGGAGAGACACCGAGAGGAAGGCACAGTCATAAATAGCTAAGGAATACTGTCAGGACTGGTGGAGAGACACCAAGAGGAAGGCACAGTCATAAATAGCTAAGGAATACTGTCAGGACTGGTGGAGAGACACCGAGAGGAAGGCACAGTCATAAATAGCTAAGGAATACTGTTAGGACTGGTGGAAAGAGACCAAGAGGAAGGCACAGTCATAAATACCTATATAATCTGGCCAAACGGATGACGAGAAGAAAACCTCAAACAGATCCGTGATAATGGTGATTATGTGAGAAAGCCAAACCTGACAAGCTAAACTTACTGGCACGGCACATAATTGTGATGATGATGACGACGACGATGGTGATGATGAGGATGATGATGATGATTACAGTGATAACTAAATCTATGGAATATCTATGGACGTTAATCCGGTTAAATGATCTACTAAATCCTTTAATCTTGAGTAGGTTTTTTTTTTTTTTTTTTGGAGTGCATTAAGTATTTAACCA